CATGCACACTGCTACAGATAAGAGCCCGAAACACAGGGAATCCAGGATAGATAACCCCTCAGGGCCAACAATGAGAATAGAGATACCAGGAGGATAAGGAGCAGAGGGGATGGATCACAAGGATTGACATAGAACCCCCTCCCTGAGGGATGAACAACAGAAAAGTGGGTAAAGGGTGACAGAGGACAATGTAAGATATGAAAACAATATTCTACAACTTATCAAGTGTTCATGAGGGAGGGTGGACGGGAAAATGAGGAGCTGATATCAAGGGCTCAAGTAGAAAGAAAATGTTTTGAAAATGTTGATGGCAGCATATGTACACATGTGCTTTACACAATGGATGAATGTATGGATTGTGATGAGATGTAAGAGCCCCCAATAAAAGTATTTAATAAAAAAAAGAAAAAGAAAGCTACACCTACAGGACAGTTACTCTTCACTCTCCACTGTGATTCCCTGATGAAGGACAGAAAGTAAAATCACTATTCCAGCACTGGAGTCAGGATGGCTAATAATCCCTATCTATACTTTGTCCCACCATGTGGGAATACCCAAGGGAGAATGCTTATCAATCTAAAATACCTGAAGCCATAGGGAAAAAAGGTTGGAACTGCTGCCTCTCAATTCCTTATTGTGGTTCTTGAAAACCCCCTAAGCACAAGCCCACTCCCCTTTGTCTTGCTTGCTTTACAGTAAGTTCGATACACAAAACCCCCAAATATCAGATACATCCTCCAACTTGAAATCTTGCTTGTGTCATTTTCTCTCACAAAAGGATTGCCCCTCTAGCCCACCACTACCTTGAAATCTAGCCCTTCTGTCTTTACTCAGCCAAAGTGTCACCCTTGAAGCTTTTCTCTGCTTACACCAGTAAGTTTTTCTTGTGAGAACTTCTAGAGCAATTAACAGCCACACAGCTCTGACACCCCAACCTACACTGCAGCACCTAGAAGACAGTCTTCCCCTAAGCTACCAGCTCCCTACGATGGTAGAGAAGCTGTGCATTTTTGTATGCTCGGCTCTAACACGGCATGCAAGAAACACTAAAATATGTGTAGACAGTATTCATTTGCTGGCATTTTATCTAGTGGGAAGAATAAAAATCAAAACAAATATGAGAGAATAAACAGCCTTCAAAGGCCAGTGTTAGGATTTCCTTTCAATTGCTATTTAACTCCTAGATTATCCATTAATAGTACATTTAGATGCCTGGGGCAATTCTATTAACATCAACTCACAGAACTGGTTGGGCTGCATAGTTCCGAAAGCATGAGTCAAAAAACTCATTTATATAATACTCTATTCTATAGGCTGAAGAACCATGGCCTGGATCGTGGCCTGCTGTATCACATTAGAGTTAACAGTAGTTTTTACATTTTTAAAGAATTTCTTTTAAAAGAACATGTGACAGAGGCCTATATGGCCCATAAATTTAAAGTATTTACTATCTATATCCAGCCTTTTATAGACAAAGCTTGCTAACCACTGTTCTAGTCTTAAGCCAGGATTCAGGAATGTAACTGACATATTACTTAATATACTAAATTTCAAGAACAAACCTAAGGATTCTATTTGTTAAACTATTAGCATCAGTCTCTCCCATGTATTCGAATATCTACCCTATCCCCCAAGCCCCATCAGAGACATCTACCCTTCTAAATCAGGAACTTAAATGAAAGATGAATCAGTACCTGTTCATTTTTCTCTGGCTCAGTCTTAACCACTGGCTCCTCTACTTCTTCATCATATACTCGCTACATATGGAAGAAAATTCATTTTAAAAAGATCAAAACACAATTGGAATGAGTTATAAGAATTCAATATCCTATAAAGACACACAAAGATAGGGAAGTGATTATACTGCAAATGGCTGTAAACGCTGTTTACAAACCAAAAAAGTACCAAAATTCACCCAAAAAAGACACAAAAGACTAGGAAACATGGAAAATGTTCAGTGTTGACCAATGGATTGCAAAAGCAAAATGATACCAGGTTTCACAGCTTGTCTAATCTTAATACTGCTGAGGAAAGGTCAGTGACACAAGTTCTTTCATGTCAGGCTATTGGTATGCTATCGACTAGGCAGTAAGAGTTTGAGCATTGTGCATGAAAGAAATAGTAAAAATGAAATTTATTGTCATTATTTTGCTTAAATTCTTCATGAATTTTTATTATCCTATTTACATTAAAACAGAGAAACCAGTGATTTGCCAGAAGGCTATATATGTGACCGGCTCTCACATCATGGGAAGGAAGGGCTCTTTTGCAAAGCAAATGGATCAATCAAGCTAACTTTTAAAAATCATATTAAACATATTAAAGCCACTTAACTAAACTTTAAAGAATTACTATGGTAGATAAATTATACTTCAAAAAAATTTTATATCAATAAAAGATCTATGTAAAAGAAATTTTTTTAAAGAGATGAAAAAAATAAAAATAATAATTTAAATAAATAAAGAGATGTTTTAAAAATGTTTTTCTCCTGAAGATTGAAATCTTAAAAAAAAAAAAGATTGAGGTTTTAACTCCTTGACATAATCAATTTAAGCTTGGTATATACGGTATGTATGTGTACTTGGATGTTTCTCTAGGCTCTTTCACATTTATATAATTAGAGTTTTCCAGCCTTTCCCATTTTTAAATAAAAGTGAACTCATAATTCACATTCCTCTGCACAGCTTTTACACTCAATGTTCTCATGAACAGCTAAGACAATGCATATATATTTAATCACTAGCTTTAATATCTGAACAACGTTCTATGATATAAAGTCTACTATAATTACTTGAAGAGTTTGCAGTTATGAACATTGGGGAGATTTCCAATGTAGGACAAGGGAGGTTGAGGGGAAGTCAAGACTTGAAACGATTAGAATAAGAAGTATAAGTATAAGAAGGAAAAAAAAAAAAAGAAGGAAAAAAGTTATAGAATCAATTATAGTGATGACTGTACAACTCTTTTTAATATGGTTGAACTACTGGGGTGTAAGATATGTGAATTATGTCAACAAAACTATTTAGGGGGGAAAATGCAGCCCTATAGAACAATAAATGGTTCACAGTTCTCTGACACACATGGGATGGCCATGAGGTTCAAGTGACTGGATAATAACTGAAGTAAAAAAATGTTACTTTAGTATTTAAATAGCAACACCGTTAACCTGAAAGTTTGAGCATCATGCTGACTAGTGTGATATTATGCAGACATTTGCAAAGCACCAATACCTTACTCATGCTCTTACACTAAGAACCACCATTCACTAACAAAATAAATAAACCAATAAAAAACTGGGCAGCAGAACTGAACACATTCCTTCAAAAAGGATACACAAAGGCCCACAAGCACAGGAAATGGTACTCGGTGTCACTATTCATTGTTAGCTGTTATCAAGTTAGCTCAGACACATGCTAACCTTATGTACAATGGAACAAAACATTGTGTGGCAAATGCAAATCAAAACCACACTGAAATACCATTTCGCCCCCAAGAAAAATGGCTATACGAGAAAAAAAAAAGAAGAAACTAGCAGGTGTTGAAGAGGATCAGAGAAATCTGAACTCTTGTTTCATTCCTAGTGGGAATAAAAAATGGTACTGCCATTGTGGAAAACAATTTGGGAATTCTTCTACAAGTTAAACATAGAACTACCAGCAACCCTAATCCTATGTAAATATCAAAAAAAAGTGAAAGGAAAAACAAAGTGTTAAAAAAACAATCAATTAGTCAAACTAAACTGCAGGATTTACTGAGTGAGAAATAGCTAGAGAATAATGAACATCCAAAAGCAAAAGCTGTGAATATTTCATTGCAGCACCGCAAGGATTTTTAAAGACAGGTTTCCAGTAAAGAAATTATCATGATTGGGTCTTAGGAATATCCTAATTGAAGGGAGGATTTTACAAATTGGCGCTTTTTGTCACAGGTATACTTGTCTGGTGGAAGCTGGTTCTGTCTGATACAGTGAATCATAACCATCTTTCAATGCCAAATTGGTTTTTTGCGAAGTCCTTGCAGTTATAAGACTGGATGAGTGGGGTCATAAAAAGTATGAGGTAACATGGCCTTTGAACTTATCCTATTTCACTAATTGCTGAAGATCTGACAGTATCAGCAACTTCAAAAGAAAACAGAAAGAGATGTTGAAACAACATTTATAAATAGGTAGAAACATCAGCTGGAAAATAATTTAGGTTTCATTTTCAGAAGATAATTATTTTTATTTCACAAAGCCAATTTTTTAAACTGAGTTTCAAAAATCCTCACTTAAGAAATCTTTTTAAAATATGAAATCATTTCTTAGGAAATTTAATGTCTTAGGATAAAATTTTCATGTGAACAGATAAGTGAAGCTTCAAGAGCTGTGCTGCCTTCTGATTAAACACTAAAGCACTGGTCAATGTTAATTAGTCCACAGTTGTACTGCACTGTTATAGCATGTTTGTACGGGGAATCATATACCTGAGCTTACCTTTAGTACCGTGTGCCTTTAATTATACATTATGCCCACTATTCTGTGATAAATTACATTAAAACTTGAGTGTATCAATTGGAATGTTCTGTCAACATTATGTTGAATGCACCAGTGATAAATTTACCAAATTTAATGCAAGTTTGTCTGTGTTTATTGTTTCTGCTCTGTGCTAGAAATGCTTAAGTAGATATAGCCTATTTCTTAGAGATGATTACAGTCCTCTAAAACCAACTAACTCTAGAACAGATAGGAAGCCAATGGGGCTACAGGCCATTGAGTGAGGGGAAGAATGCTGTGAGGGGGCTTTAAAAAATTTCTGGAAAAATTCCATTATCTCCTAATTCCATTTTTCCATGAACGTTTTAAAGCTCTCTTGTAGATGAGGTTAGAAAGGTACCTTAGTTGAGCAGCTCTGTAAATTAAGGTAGCTAACATTTGAATATCAACTTTAAATTATCTGTGAGAAAAGAATTGTTAAAGTAAGAAAGATTTTCAAAATAAAAAAAATAATATGCCTAGAATCTAGCATTAAGGAAAGACCAAACAATGGCATGAACTTGTACCAGATGTGCATTTTTTTATCATTTTAAATGCAGACCTTTGTGGGAAATAAGTCATAAAGATCTCTTGTCCAGTTATTCACTTTAATGGTAAAACAGGATCTGTAAGTTCCAGATACAGCAAGACTGGAGTGAGGTCTGATTGTCTAGATGAAATGTCCATGCTGCCCCTGAGCACAGCTTTCCCATTGGATGAATTAGTGTAAATTACAGTAACTCTTGCTCTCCAAAGATTCTCAAATAAGTATTTGAAGTCAGATGTAACCAAGTTACTCACATTCTCAATGAACTGAGTATTAGAGAGCATAAGGAAGTCATTGAAAACGTTATGCAGGCGACAATCTGTAGCTTTAGTTTCCCGGATTAGTCCATCCATTTGTTTCTTGATTTCATGGGTCCTAGTGATGGTTTGCTGAGAGAATTCCTGTAGAAACTGTAGCAGCTATTTTAAAAACAAATATACAGTATCAGTATTATATGCATCAATCCTATAAAATCCTTTTACCTCAGAGGTGGGGGAGTAAAATGCTGCTTTAAACAATAGGCACTGAGCTGCTGATAGCAAGGTCAGCTTATTCAAGCCCACCAGCTGCTCCTGGGAAGAAAGATGAGGCTGGCAACTCCTATACAAATTTATGGTCTCGAAAACCCTTTATCAATTCAATGCTTTGTTTTATGACCAAGTGGAGTTGAAAACATAAATCTCAACAAAACATGAGTCAACACTTGTTCTCATTTCTGGAGACAATTTGAAGTGGTGTTTGGTTGTCATTTACAAGTATCAAATAGAAAGTAGCCCTTATCCTACTTATAGAACCTTGGAATCAAGATTTCTCAGTTGTGAGGCACCTGGGTTTGTCTCTTCAAGACCCAATAGGGCATCACCCACTAGAGGTGAGGCTGTGGGTGCGGAGAAAAGGGCTCAGCCCGTCTCAGGATCGAATCAGATGCATCACTAAGAAACCCAAAGGCAGAGAACCCTGCAATGGGGCGGCTGTCAGATTTGAGCTGTCAGAAGACTGAAACCCACCGGGGTCAGCGCCTCTCCCTAATGCCTGAGGACTGTCGTGTAGTGTTTTCAAGAATGCGGAAGAATTGTGTGATATTGAGGAAAATCAGAGAACTTCCGAAGGAAGACCCTCCACAGCCTCAGCCCTGAAAGGAGGCAACGAGAACCCCAGGGTCAGACGGGGCATCGGGAAACACCGATCCTCCACCAGCCGGCCCCCCGGGATGCTCTGTGCCCGGAGGCCCGCCCTCCCCTTCCGGCTCCGCGGCCGCAGCTCACGCCTGCGTCGGCCGCCAGCGACCAGCTCTGGCTGCTCCTGCGAATTTCCTCCACCGACCAGGGCCGCTCCCAAACGGGCTCCGAGGCCGGCGCCGGGGGCGCTTCCGGGGTGGTCCCATTCATCTGCAGCGGGGAAGAGGAGAAGAGGGGCTGGGGCTCGAGGAGGGGCTGGAAGGCGACGGCCGCGGCCCCGCCCCGGTCAGCCCCGGCTTGCCGCTCTCACCACGCCGGCCGCACCTCGCGGGCTCACAGGTGGCGACGCCGAGAGCCGCGGTCAGCCGCAGAGCTTCGGGAGTCCAACGCGCAGCGCCGCTGCGCAGGGCGGACGGCTGCGCCTCACGTGACCAGAGGTCCCGTGAGCGGGCGGGGCGGCGCGCCGGAAAGCGCCCGCCCACGCCTTAAGGGAAACCGGAAACGCGGGTTCTTCCGGCCAGGGCCCTTGGGGGGGGTTACGTCGGTGCCCATCGGCAGAAATGTTGTTTAATAATCAGAGGAATTGAGCCTGCTGGCTCGCCTAAAGGAACCTGTTGAACAAGCAGCTGTGGGCTTGTTAAATGCGCTGATGCGGACAGAAGAAAAGCCCCCCACGTCCGCGTGTGTTGACTTGCTGCATCGCCACTGCTTATCGCAGGACGGATACGCCAGTCCATAGGTGGACAGACCTGAGGGAATCGTCGTGCGCTTCGTGATTTGTGCTCCAATTCCCTGTTTAGATAGAGCCGGCTTAACATCTCTGATCTCCTCGGCATTTCCTCAAAGTCGAGAGGAAAAACCCTTCAGTATTGAATCGCTGCCTCGCTTCTCCCAGCTGCCGTTCGCCCACAAGAACACTGAATCAGCTGTTCTGTCTCACACTTCCTGAGTGAAATCCAAAAGCTGATCATTCTCGCAGGCAATATATGTTGCTTATGTTTTGCCTACATGCCTAATATTTAGTTGGATTATCTACCATCTAGTTAGTCCCTTAAACCTGGGACAGTGGAATGAATTGTGGGCTGGACCCTCACCATCCTCGCAACTGATTACAGACTGGACCATTGTTATTCATAGAATTTTCATTGACTAATTTTTGGAAGTAGGTCAACAGGCCATTCTTGCTAATACGTCTTATTCCCAAAGTACCTCACAAACCCGTTTTATACTATATTTTCTGAAGAGGTTTCACTATGGTGGTTTGGGGTTTTATACATTTTTTTTATTTAATCGTTTTATTAGGAGTTCATACAACTCATCACAATCCATACATACATCAATTGTGTAAAGCACATTTGTACATTCATTGCCCTCATCATTCTCAAAACATT